GGCCTGGGCACTGTCCCTCAGCTCTTCAGCTCAAGGCTAGCACTCTACCACTTGAGCCACAGCGCCACTTCCGGCTTTTTTCTTTTTGCTTATGTGCTGCTAAGGAATCGAACCCAGGGCCTCGAGCATGCAAGGCAAGTGCTCTACCACTGAGCCACCTTCCCAGCCCAAATCTGGGGCTTTTCTCTCAACCATATTTTCTTGGGTGGTGGTCTTGGTTCCTCAGCTAGAATGGACCTGTTTGTGTAATAAGGACATTTCAGAACTCATCTTCTGTGCCCTGTTACTGAGTGGTGGACTCCATTTAACTTCTAGAACTGCGATAACAATGACTGAAAAGGAAAAATCACTAGTCCCAGAATGCAAAAATGACAAAGATGGGGGACTTCATGAAATCTCCCTCCTAGTCCTTGCCATGCAACCCAGGATGAGACACTTAACAACAGCAGTGTTGATGGTGATGCTGATGCTTATTAAGAGTTTGGAATGAGACCTGGTACAGAGTCATCCCTTGAAGGCCATCTGCCATTATGGGAATAAACCGAGGCTTACAGAGAGAGGCTATGTAAAGATCACACAGGACTCAGTCCGCAGCCTGACATCTTAGCTCCATTGTTAAATATGAATTCCTCGCACCTCAGTTTTCCCATCACTAAAACTGTAATGCTGCACTGTTGATCTTTAAAACTCCTTAATTCTAAAGTTTCTTGGTCTCTTTTCCCCCTTTCCCCTATTACCTTTACTCCTTCCTTCTCTCTCTCCTGGTCCCTCCCCCCACTCCACTTATCCATGGATTGTTCTGGGTTCATCATCACGAGTTCAGCAGGATGTTTTCCCCATTGAATGATGACACTGCATGTGTCAGCATGTGAATGTGCATTGTGGCTTTCTTTAGGAGAGCTGCAGGGCAGAGGATGGGGGTTTACATGCTGCTGCTGTTTGCTGTCTTATCTTGGCCTGCAGCCATTACCACATTGACTGACACTGACGTTTGATAGGGCCTGGGCAAGGTTTCCTAGGCAGAAGCTTGTAGGAATCAGCTCTTTATGTGGGCTCTGTGTTGCTCTCTGCTAAGATCTGCTTTGGGATATGTTCACTCGCCAGACTGTTTGAACATGTTCAATCTGTGGCAGACCTGGCATATTTTCATATGGGGAGTTTCCTAGGAAGTGTTATTACAATTCCATCGCAATTGATGTTTATAAAGTACTTTAGTTGGTTGACAGTTCATATATATTCTGTAGCACTTTTTCATGGCTGTGGTCTAAAGGTTAGAATGTTTTGGCATCAGAAGACCAGAGTTCAAGGATTGGATCTATCAATTCCTAATATAGTGTATTAAATCCACCTGTTTGTTTTGGCTTCTATACTGTTACTCATTTGGGAGGATCTTATTGTAGAATAAAAAGTCATTCTGTCAGTGTGCTAAGATTTGTGAGTTCTTCCTCTTAGAAGTGTGGAAGTGTGTAGAGCACCAAATAATTTTAGGGTACCAGGTCGTGTTTATACACTTAAAGTATTGAGTCAGTCACTTAATTTCTGGACACAAAGCTTTGTAATCTATAAAAGAATTACTGTCTAGTCATCTAAAATGGGTATATTGAGTCAAATGAAGTATAGAAGTATGTTTCTAAAAATTTCTAATTTTATATATTTGTTGTTTTTAGGAAGTATGAAACAAAGTTAAATGTTTTAATCACCAAAAAGACAAAACAATTAACATTTCTATTCTGATTTTCTCCAGTATAGATTATTTACTGAATGTAATAACTTGTAGTAAAATTTCTTCAGCCTTACTTGATATTGTGTGCCAGTTGGAAGGCAATGAGTTAAGTTGTTCCAGAAATTATCTGAATATTGAGAGTATTCAGTTAATAAGAATTGATATTACTCAAGACAGTCTTTGTGGCAACACATTAATTTTGCATTAATTCCAGTTTTATTAGTTCATCAAAAGATCAACAACTACATTCTGGTTGTAAAAAGACACTAATAGCACATTAATTATAAATATAAATTATGGGACAATTAAGTATCCTGTGTAGATAGAACATAATTGCCATGTAAGAAAAGGCTTAGCATTTATATCATAATTGAAATTGGCTTATATGGAAAATGTGTTTCATCATTCACATTTTCATTAAAGCAAATATTCTCTTATCCTCTCACTCTAAATGAACATGACAATTCCATATCTGTTTCTCTAGATTGGTAAACCATGCTTGAAGATACCATCTGGAGATTTTTGGATTTCTGCCAAAAATTTAAATTAGCTACCTGCCTAAGGCAAGAAACTGCACTGATTTAGTAGTGAGTATCACCATCTGGTAAAAGAAATTGAAAACACATGGAAAGACTTGAATATTTGCTTTATAGTAATATCACTATATTATAAGAACAGTGTTTCCAAAACATAGTGATTGAAGAAATTAGAGAATCTACTTGCTAAAAATTTGAGTCATTAATTACAAGTCTGAGATAAAAGCTTGTCTAGAGACCTTGGTGGTAATGGCAGGTACTTTATTTTAAAAAATGAAAACAAGGAAAAACAGAGAGAAGTAATCTAGTAGGAAACAGCTCAGAATCATGAGCAGTGCTAAAAGCCTTAGACCTGTGTGAATTTGGGTATAATGTGATGGTTATTCTTTTTGTTGTTTTTTCCAAAAAACAGATTTCTGCTTGGCAGATTACTCAAAGGCAAGAAGGACCACCCTACCATTCTTTGATTGTTGCCCCTGTAAGACCCCAGCAACAGACTCTAGGCCAAGTCATCCGTGCTGCCGTACACCCTTCCCACCCCAGACACTCCTCTGGGGTCCATATGAGGTCAACAGTGTGAAGATGACCAGTGCCTTCTTACCTTCTTAGCATGACGACCTTGGACCATGTGATCGCAACCCATCAGTCAGAGTGGGTCTCCTTCAATGAAGAGCCACTCTTTCTTGTCCCTTCTGAGGGTAAGGAATATTTTATTTCCTGTAGTGATAAGACTGGCACAGTTCTGTGCCTGTGTGTTGTGGCTTACATTGATCATTGTTTAAGTGGGATCTTCAGAAAGGAAGGTAGAATGGAGTTGGTTTGGTCACTTTTCTCAGGTGAGTGACTTCTCCTGGGCCTGGTGGCTCACCACTAGAACCCTACCTACTCAGGGGCCAGAGATTAGGAGGACGGTGGGTTGAAGCTAGCCTGGCAAAAAGTTTGAGAGACCTCATTTCAGTCAATAAAAAACAGGGTGTGATGACACACACTTGTCTACTCTAGAAACAGCTGAAATCAAGAAGGGTTGGAGACATGGCTCAAATGGTAGCGTGCCTGCCTAGCAATTGCCAGGCAGAATTGCCAAAACAGCAACAACAATAATAAAAAGCCCAGAGAAAAGACATCTTTGTAACCTTAAGGCCCTAAAGAAGAATCTGGAAGCACCAAAACTATGAGTTCTTTTCTTCCAATAACTTCCTGTTTGCAAAGTACTTTGCCAGCAGCCTTTTTTGGTGGCTATTTTGATTTTCCCAAATTTTAACTGTAATTGTTAAAAATGACAAAGGCTCTGAGGCAGATTACTGGAACTCAAACCTGGCTCATCATAGATGAGTGGTGTGCCTCTGGGAATTTTTGTGTTGTTATTTTTTTCTTTTTTGTTTGTTTTCTGTTGGCTGTGGACTTGAACTCAGGGCCTGGGACCTATCCCTGAGCTCTTTTGCGAAAGGCAAATACTCTACCACTTTGAGTTACAACTCCACTTCTGATAGTTAATGGGAGATAAGAGTCTCACAGACTTTGCCCAGGCTGGCTTTGAACTATGATCCTCAGATCTCAGCCTCCTGAGTAGCTAGGATTACAAGCGTGAGCCACCAGCACCCAGCAAGTTGATATATTTTAGCTCATTTAGATTTATGAATCTACCACCATAATCAATATATATATATATGTGTGTATGTGTATATATATTAAATATTAAATGTTCCAGGGCCAGTGAAGTAACAGAAGCTATAGGAAGACCTCTTTGTTACTTTCAGAGTTTCCACCTGATAGTTGGGCCACAAAAATTTGAAATTTGAATGTATTTAGTAGAGAGGCGCTCAACTGTTCAGCTAGTCATTGCATTTCACTTGTGCCACTCTACTCAGGTAGTTTTGTTGGACCTCTGTGAACATGCCACAGTATCCCTCCCTCAAGTAATAGAGTGAATGCTGATATAGAAAGATAACAAGACTCCTCTTCCCAGCCATCCTAGACATTTGTTAGGGAGCAAGCCTTTAGCATAGGAATAGAATGGCATAGCTATTTTGTCTCTTACCCATCTTTTGTATTTGACTCTATGGGACAGTTTCATGGCTGTCCTTTCACATGTGATGATATTTTCTGATATATGTTGCAGGGGGCACTGAAGAGCACTTCCCAGAACTGTCATCTTCCTCAGGTCCATCTGAGAGCTCCTCTGGGGAGAACCATGTGGTGGATGGAGTCTCTCAGGATCTTTCCCACTCAGAGCAGGATGACTCTTCTGAAAAGATGGGCCTCATCTCTGAAGCAGCTTCCCCTCCTGGGAGCCCTGAACAGCCTCTACCTGACCTTGCCTCAGCCATTAGCAACTGGGTTCAGTTTGAAGATGACACACCCTGGGCCAGCACCTCACCATCTCATAAGGAAACAGGTAGGACAGGTGTGGGGACTAGGATGGCTTTTGGTTTGCTACATGCCCAGCAGGTATTTTTCATTGCCAGTGTTCACTTTACCTGTGCCACAGTTCTGAAGCACTAGCCTTATAGGTGAGAGATGGGGCTTGAACTCAGGGGCTGGTCACTGTCTTTAAACTTTTTGCTCAAGGCTTGTACTTTGCCACTTGAGCCATGCTCCATTACCAGCTTTTTGGTGATTAATTGGAGATAAGATTCTCACGGATTTTCCTATGGGGCTGGCTTTGAGTCACAGTTCTCAGATCTCAGCCTCCTGAGTAGCTAGTATTACAGGAGTGAGCCACTGGCGCCTTGGATGGGAAATACCTTTACTTAGGCCCTAAATTATAAGCTTCATATACTAGAAATGAATGTCTCTTAAAATGGGGATCACTGACCATCTCTACTAGAGACTTCAGTGAAAATAAACGTGGACATTCTTATCTCCAAATCCTTGGGAATAGAGATGCTTTTACACGGTAGAGCTCTGGTTTGAACTGTGATCCTCCAAATCTTAGCCTCCTGAGTAACTAGAAGTGTGAGACACTGGCTTGATTCAATATTTTTTTGCATCAAAGTATTGATAACTGAAGTTATTGGCTCCTCCTTAAACTACGCACCCAAGGCAAATAAATTATTTCCTTATTTCCTGAAGTGGTCTAAAGATACATGATTTACTGACATTATTAGAAAGCAAATTAAGAAGCGACAACTTTCAATTACATGAAAGCATAATTCTGGCTTGAAAATTGCTTGGACATCAATAATCCCAGCTGTCTGCTCATATGAAAATTTCACTGAGCACTATGGACATGGAGTTCTCTGCCTTAGGAGGAATTTAAGACCTGATGCCTGATGGGAAAGCAAGAAGCTAGAAGTGGCATGGAGAATCAGTTCTCATTCAACAGTTTCTAACCTAGTAACCAAAGAACCTTGGATGTTTGCAGAGTATGAAGGTGATTAAAGATGAGGGGTAGTAAAATGCCAGTGGCCAAATCCCCAGCCATGACCCATTAATTAACCTAGTAAGTAAAAAGCTATAAGATACATTTTTATTACCCAAACTAACTCCTTTCAGGCGATCTCCCTGGATTTCCTCTCTTGGATTGTATTTAACAATAAGAAAGAGTGGTTGGTAGAGCCAAAGCCAACTGAGAAACAGAAGAAATTGGGTTTTAGCCGTCTTTGCTTGGATTATATAGGACTCCCTCAAGTTAGTTATTCTGTTCTGTAGGTGGTTGAGCAGCTTGTATTTTAATTTAATTCCAAAATATTTGGATACATGTGCTATGTTAATAATAGCACATATGTAACTGCAGGCATTACACAGAAGTGACCCAGATGTGTACAGTCAGTTTCTCACAGTGCTAGAGGCATGATGAGATTTCTTACATTCACTGTTATTTTTGTTTTGTTTTGTTTTTGTCATGAGGCTTGAACTCAGGGCCTGGGCACTGTCCTTGAGCTCTTTTTGCTCAAGGCTAAGTGTTCTGCCACTTTGAGCCACAGCTCCACTTCCAGTTTGCTGATTGGAGATGAGTTTCAACAAATTTTCTGCCCAGGCTAGCTTTTAGCTCTGGTTCTCAGGTCTTAGCCTCCTGAGTAGGATTACAGGCGTGAACCACCAATGCCACTCTTTTAGTAAGAGTGTTGTGACTGTATTTCGGTGGTTGACTATTGTCACCTCATGACACTCAAGTTCTATTCCCTGACTGTTGTCACCCCATGCCACTCAAGTTCTGTTCCCTGAGGCTTGTGTTATCTTATTTGGAATGGGCTCTTACAGAAGTATTTTGGCTAAGGATTTTGAAATGAAAGACATTCCTGATTGTTATCTGTGTGAGCCCTAAATGCAATCACATGCACCCTCATAAACAATACAGAGAAAGATTTTGCCCACACAGAGAAGACAATGTGAAGATGGAATACAAACATTTGAAGATGCTGGCCTTAAAGGTTAGAGTGAGGAAGCCACAGCCGAAGAATGCCTACATCCATCTGCCAGAAGAAGCAAGGAACAGATTCTCTACTCCTGTCTGTCTCCAGAGGGAGTGTCAGCCTGCTGACATCCTCATCCTTACTTCAGTACTGATTTCTAATTTCAGACTCTGGCCTCCAGAATCATGAAAGAATAAATTACTGTTGTTTGAAGCTACCAAGTTGGTGATAATTCGTTTCAGTAGCCACATGAAACTAATGGAGTAAGTCTGTAAATGCTTAAACTGGAACCATTCGGATATGCTGAGAGTGAGTCTGAACTGAACCAGGAACATCTATAATAGCACAGGCTCTTAGCAGATGTATGCTGCCACTATGCTTTATCTCCAAACCTTACAGTATTTTATAATTTATTCACTGAGCCACTATGTCGTCATCGTCGTTCTGCTGCTGCTTCTTCTTTCTTCCTTCTTCTTCTTCTTCTTCTTCTTCTTCTTCTTCTTCTTCTTCT